TGGGGGAAATGTTCATTGTTTGCCAAAATCATGTACTAATTGCATCTTCTTCTCCCCCCCTCCCTCCCCTCACAGCATCTTTTCTCTCCCTCTCTCCCCTCCCTCCCGCTCACCTGCTGAATCTGGGCACTCTTTGCCAGCAGATCTCTCTGTTGGGTCTTCATGTGTGTAGCCAGTCTCTCAAACTTTTCTTTCTCCTGACTGACAAACCCGGTCATCCTCTGCTTGATCTTGTCCTTCTCCTCCTCATCCTGCTCTGCCCTGTGCTGCAACTGAGACAACTGGGGAGATAGGGAGATCTTGTTCAGGGTTTATGCATGACTCAACTACTTGGTAGCGAGGTAGAAACTAGAACTACACCCAGGACAGCTCTTTCTTTTCAAAAGAAAAGAAGAAGAGCTGCCCTGGGTGGGATTCGAACCCACGACACTCTGCAGTCTAGGCGAGCGCTCTACCAACTGAGCTCCATGTGTACACACAACTGTTGTTAGGTGTATTCACAGAACCAAATGTGGGTATATATAGTTGCTAGTTTCAGTCAACACACAGTATCTCTCCCAGTACCAAATGGTTGCTAATTTCAGTCAACACACAGTATCTCTCCCAGTACCAAATGGTTGCTAGTTTCAGTCAACACACCGTATCTCTCCCAGTACATGAGTGGACATTGACTATATACCTCGTCCTGCAGCTCTCTCTTCTCAACCTCGTACATCTCCGTGGTCCTCAGCAGCAGCTCCCTCTCCTGCGAGAGGTGTTCCAGCTGCTCTGTTACCATGGCTACCTGCTGGAGGGCCTGCGACAGCTCGTGCCCCTTGGACATCGTCGCCGCGTGACACCTCTCCAGCTCGGCCTGCAGTCTTGCAATCTGGGAGGGAGGGAGGAGGGAGGAGGTGAGAACTAAAACATTTAACAAATGATGGCTAAAGAAGTTTCGTGTGTGTTTGGAGCACAAATACAGTACTCATGATCGTAAAAAAACTGGTGGGTGGCACAGTTATAGAAACTTGGACCCGCCGGCTGTTGATGGAAAATCCCATCACTACATCGTACGTAAGTCTCACGTTCTCATCTTGAGACGAGATGACAGTCTTTAGTCTGTTGTTCTCCTTGTCCTTCCTCTCGCTGTTCTTCCTCTGGGTCCCCAGCTCCTCACACGAGGTCTGCAGCGACCCCAGCTGCCCCTCCATCACACACAACTGCTCTCTGAACGCCCGCTCTGTACACCACACAAAAATATTACGGCTGGACGTAAATATTTTAGTACCACCTACAAATTTTATGGGTAGATACATGACATGTGTAAAAAATTGTGTGCTTCAGAATTGATTCAAAATTGTGATAGTTGTCTCACGTTTCTTTTTGAGGTCGTCGATGAGCTGGGATCTAACCCGTCCTCTGTTCTCCAGACTTTCTCTGAACTCCTTCAGACTCTCCTCTCCACACTCCGCTGACAGGTACTGCAAGGGGTGGGGTGGAGGAGGTATGTGGTGTAATTACTCTCAGAGAGAATGTTGAGTATTAACACAGACAGTGGAACCTTCTCTAAGGACACCTCTGAAATGAGGACACCTCTCTAAGGACACCCTGAAATGACATCTCTCTAAGGACACCCCTGAAATGCATGCAATTCAAAATGACACCTCTCTAACACGGGCACTTTCTTCTGTCCATTGGTTTCCGTCGAATAAACTTCAGTACTACCAGATTTCACACATTATTGCAGGTGGCGCTAGACAGGGGCTCAAATCATCAACACAATAATATAATATGTAAACCATTGCAAACTGTGCTATGTACATATGGGAGCTACATACGTATCATACACGGACCTTCTGCACTGAGAGAACTCCGAGAGCGAGGAGGTAAGGATGAGGTACATCCTTCACTGGTTGATGACTTGATGGTGGGCCTGATGTAGAATCACCCTCAACTGCTCTGGTCTCCTTTAGAGCTGCCTTGAATAACATGTTAGCTGAGGAGGACAGCAGGAGGAAGGGGGAATAATAAAACATTCACAACAAAAACTGTTGGAAAAAGAGAAATCTTTAGCACGACTGACAGTATTCGCCAAATATTGCAGATTCTTGAAAAGTTGCAGTTTAGTAACAAAGTACTATAGTGTTTGTGTAGGTCGATGGGTGAAAGGTAGTGATTTGACAGTCATGGAGACAAGAGAGATAACTCACCTCTATGTCTTCCAGGTGCCAGACCGACTTGTTTCTTGACCTCCTGAGGTCGACTGACCATGACCTCCTGCGTGACCTCCGCAAACCTCATTACATGCTGGCGGGGCAGGGAGAGAGGGAGAGAGATAGAGAGCACAGTTTGAGGGAGAGAGAGAGAGAGAGAGCCATCAAAGAGAGAAGAAAGTAGCTAAAACTACTATATATGCAGAGAGAGAGAGGCAACTCACAATGGTTTCATCATAGTCAGTTGAGCTTGGACTGACACACACGATCATGGCCACTCGTCCCTGCCCGTCGAAATAGTTCTTGAACAAGTGGGTCAGCTTCGAGTCTCGATAGGGGACAATCCTGGTGGCCCCGCCCCCCACCTGGTTGTCACGGAGCGTCTCCATGCATGTCCGGAGTACCATGAGATTGGCGTTGATGTTGTTGGCCTCGCGGAGCCGGTCGCCAGTGCAGTGCGTCCGGGTGGTCCTCTCACTCCCGGCCAGGTCCACCAGGGACAGCTGAGATATCGTCAGCAGTGATTTGTCCTGTAGGGGGAGGAGTCACATGACTATCATGTGACCTCTGAGTAATGCATTAATGTTTACTTTCATCAACAACGGCTGGATGACACAAGTTGATAGATAAATTTTACGACAGTTTTAACCCATTCCCCACTAAGTCTTCAATTAACCCACTCCCCACTAAGTCCTCAATTAACCCATTCCTCACTACAGCTGCCTTACCTCAATAACCGCTTCCCCACTGTGGTTGAGAGGTGCCTGCACCAGACGAATGGTGAACACTGAATGACTCCGACTGCTCTCAGTGTTCATGGTCGTCATGGCAACCCGACGTCTCTTCTGGCCCCGCTGGAGGACGTCGAAGGCTTCCTCCGTACTTTTGACCTCGACTTCTGTCCCCCCGGAGACGTACATGTTGTGGTTTGTGTCTTCTCTGAGATTCTTTGATTTTGGAGGTCTGTGTGTACATATGTATCAGAGAGATTGATGACACCAGTTGACATATTGTTCACACAGCTGACACGGAACTGATTCTTGACTGATTTCAATACAACATGTATTGTACATGTGCTTAATGTAATGGGAACGTAATGGGAAACTGGTTTGTCAACAAAATCTAATGAGGTCATAGATATCAAATATTTCGCACAGATTTGGCAAAACATAAAGCAATTTAGCACACGGGAACACAAAATTAGCACAGGAACCACAAAATGTACCCCCTCTAATCAGGACATCAGTGGAACAAAAAGATTTTTTCTGTTAATTAACACAACAATACCCATACTTTGGAACAATTGAGTCGACAGGCGTGTCCTCCAGCAGGTCGAACGCATAGTTGTTGTAAATCTCGACGTAAGACACAAAGACAGCGTACTGACTATCCTCATCAACTCCCTCCGTCACCTTACGTTGGTCCGGGACACGCAGCATCTCGCTGAACTCTGACTCCGCCGCCCTGTGTGTTGTGAGTGTCATGTGACCTGGAGCAGCGGTCATGTGACATCATGTGATCTCATTACCTCATTCTGGGGGAGACTTTCTTGCCGCGGTTCCGATACTGCTCGACACGGGCGTCTGATTCTGAGAATATGTTGAATCCGTTGCTTCCATCAGGTCTGAACACCTTTACGGAGGGAGAGGGGGAAAAGGAGTGATATACGTAATTATGGGGAAAACTTATACATTTCACATTTTGAGACTTTATGAGTAGTTTTAGAGAGTTAAACATTGGGGGAATGGTAGGTATTACAGCGGACAGGTTGCGAGAGTGGAAGCGTTTAAAAATCGAGAGCAAATACATTCTCCCTCGTCACACACAGGAAAACTCACGAATTTGGGAGCCTGGACTTCAGCGATGCTGTTGAAAATGACATCCAGACATCGCGGCAAGATGCCCGGAGCATCTGGCTCCCCAGTCATGGTGTACGTCTTCCCAGAGTTGGTGATCCCGTAGGCAAACAGGAGGCCGTGCTTTCCCTGCAGCAGCTGCTCGGTGAGGGGAAACCCCACCATGTCGTAGACCGTGGACTGCGAGGAGGTCCCGTTGATGACTCTCTTGAAGGTGTGCTGTGTCTGAGAGGAAGGGGGAGAGAGAAGGCAGGGTTCACACTTGCAATCATGGTTTCAACTGCAACTCAAGCACACAATTGCTGCTTCTTGAGAGCTTTTTGACATTGGCATTTTACGACTGTGACACTCCCTCAGACTCACCGGGTTCTTCTGTCCTGATTTGAAGGCCAGGGAGCTCTCGGGCGGCTCTATTTGGAGTCTGTTGTCTCTGACTATGGACATGCAGGACTCTCCCTCCTCCTCCTTCAGAGGCCGCACTCTGCAGAAGACCTGGTAGATAGGAGAACGAGAGGCCGGCTAAACTCACTAGCTAGCAAGAAACAGGGGGGCTGGTTTATCGTTCTCACCTCGACCGGGTCTTTCTCTTTCTGCTTCCTTGCTCCGTGCGGGACCACAGTCACCCGTTTCGCCTTCCCGCCGACTGGAACCTTTCCTTTTGAGGACTTCATGGTCTCTCCCTCTTGCTCTCTGCTCGGTTTCTTCCTCGGTTTTTTAGTTTGCCGTTGGCGGGTGAAAATTTGAATGCTCCGGTTTTTGAATTTAGACCAATCAAAATCGATTCGAGCACCTGACCGTTACGTCGGAGCAACGTCCGTTTTCCTCGCGTATACGGAACAGGCGGACGGCGTATACACGCAGAGCTAGGAAGAGAGCGAGAGCTAGCTCTGCACGTTGTCTGCTGATGCCGTTAGCTGGTCGCTAGTGGCTCTGTCCCGTGTGTCCCACTGACTGGAATCAAGAACTGAGAAAAGGTAAGCAAAAGCCGGCACGACTGCCGATAAAAGGACGACAGTCCTCGAACCCAGGGCGGGGCAGTTCCACCGCTATATCGCGCGTACACCCATTGTTTCTAAGGACACCGCCCTATGCCCGTCTCTCCCATCTCCAGATTACCTCTGCGAGGACGCTACGTAGTCCAAATATTGTTCTAGAAGCAAGCAGCCCTAGCTGCCAAGTAAATGGTCCATTTGCTTGCCTGACCCTCCCAGTAATATGGACAAACTCTTAGTGAAAGTGGGGCTCTGCCAAGCATATTGCTATGGGCTTTCTCTATGGGTGGGGCATTTGGCACACAAGGCCATCAATCTATGGCCTGGAGTGGCTCCATTACGGGGATGAGTTGACACCATGGCTAGAGTGCAAGGTCGTGTGTCACATTACAGGTCTGGCCCGAGCTGTGTGCTGTTCAAACCACACACACTCTCTCTTGATTGAGTGTTTGGTAAATCGTAAAGAGGTTCATTTTCGTTTGCCGGAAGAACTTACCTTTGTTTTGAGATGAGATGGTTTGTTTGTGCATCTTACAATTTCCCCAAGATGCACGTTGTCGTTGGTAACAAGAAACCCCGTACTAACTAATCGGGACACCCAAACTAGCTAATCAGGACACCCAAACTATAACTAATCAGGATAGCTGATCAGGACACATCAGGACACCCCATAATCTCTAGTCAGGACACTCTATTCTAATGTCATTAACTACATTTGGACGCCCGAAAATACTAATTAGGACATGTAATGGGAATTTGGTGTCTGTTGCCGCGGCAATGTGCGGGTGTGTCCAATTACTGATGTTCTGAATTTGCAGCTGTCATTGTTACATCATTACCACGGCTACCCACATAACTCCTTGGCTCATTCCGTGATGCTGTGATAACCTTGTTTTCCTAAACCTGTGTTTGACGCTGCGTATACAGTGGAACCCCTCTCTAAGGACACCCCTGAAATCAGGACACCTCTCTAATAAGGACACCTTTTCTTTCCCCAAGAACAGTTCTTGCATGCAATTCAACCCCTGAAATGAGGACACCTCACTAATATGGACACTTTCTTCTGTCCCATTGGTGGTGTCTGGATTAGAGGAGTTTCACCTTTTCTTCAAAACAACTCCACTGTCAACAGTTGCATGTCAAGGAAAGCTGAAAGTAACAGTACACCAGGCCAGCCAGGGTCAATGTATGCAGAGCCCTACATGTGTACATACATACAGTGTAGCTGGAATATGGTCTGTAAAAACATTGACTTTACTCATTGTCTGTGATTAATAGTAACTAAACAGTCCCTCACCGATTTGTGTCCACATTCCATGTCGAGCTGACCCCGATTCCATTCCTGCCTCCACCAATCAGATTGGGGACGTCATGGCGACTCTGGAGGGCAAGACGGTGGTGAAGGAGGGATGGCTGACGATGTACAAGAGCCGAAAGCCAACGTTTTTCTCCTCGCGACCTGTTCCTGATAAACTGGTGGACCGAGCATGGGCTGTGCTCCATCAGTTTTCTAATAAAGGCCCACTCATCTGCTTCTATCAGGTATTTCAATATAGGGTATTACATAGGTCATACTGTGTAACTAGAATCTCAGAGATGGTTGTTTGAGGTCAGCCGGTGTGCCGTGGCATGCGATATCCACTTTGCTACTATTCTCTTAGGATTTCACGAGATTTGCCAAAATTCGCAGCAGCCTTTTGTCGCGATATTATGTTATTGGAGGAACAAGGGGATGGGGGAGGATGGAAGTGAGTGTGCCATTGAAGAGGAGGGGGGGAGGAAGGACAGTTGTAGGTGTATGGTCAGGTTCATACACACATAATGTTTATGTCTGGCCCCATATATGGAAGAGGCGGGGCAAACAGTGCCCCACTCACTGCCAAATCAGACACTGACCTCTAGTGTACTTATCTTAGTTAGTGTACTTAGTGGTATACAGTAGTTGTATACAGTAGTGTACTTAGTGGTATACAGTAGTGTACTTAGTGGTATACAGTAGTGTACTTGGTGGTATACAGTAGTGTACTTGGTGGTATACAGTAGTGTACTTGTGGTATACAGTAGTGTACTTAGTGGTATACAGTAGTGTACTTAGTGGTATACAGTAGTGTACTGAGTGTATACAGTAGTGTACTTAGTGGTATACAGTAGTGTACTTAATGTATACAGTGGAATTCTCTAAGATAGCCCCTGTAATAGAGACACTTCATTAATACAGACACTTTCTACTGTCCCATTAGTGTCTAGATCAATTAGAGAGTTGCACTGTAGTCAGTTCAGAAGTTGTATGCTGATTCTACTATGCACTGTGTGCTAATACAGCACTTTAACAGGTGGTTCTTCTGGTCTGTTGGGGCAACATGGTTTATTCAGGTGGTCAAGTGTGTGATAATTGATCCGTCTCCTCCCTCCCTCTCCTCCCTCCCTCCCTCTCCTCTCTCTCCTCCCTCCCTCTCTCCTCTCCTCCCTCCCTCCCTCCCTCCCTCTCCTCCCTCCCTCTCCTCCCTCTCCTCCCTCCCTCTCCTCCTCCCTCCCTCTCCTCCAACCCCACAGGACAATCTGAGAGAGACCAAGGTGATGAAGAGGGAGAAGATTGAACTGCTGACAGTCAGAGCCATCACTCAAGTAACTCGCCACCCAAAACAACCTCACAGTTTTGGTCTCAAGTTCAAAGGAGCTAAGAAGGTTGTCATGAACTGCGACTCAGAGTAAGTTACATGTAAACCTAAACCTCTGTCATAGGCACACACCTGGTGGTTTCAAAACTTGGGCAGTTGTTGGTGTAACTCTTAGACACCTTTCATAAAGTTCTGTCTGTTACTTTCGCACATAATGCAATAATGTGTGAACATTCTGCCCATCCTGTATACAGTATGGTGGTGGTGGTGGTGTGTATGTTTGTACATGAGAGTTAAAGCCCCACATCTAGTAGTATGCCAGTCTGACTGGCTCTTGTGTACTCCTATCATAGCCCATACATATGTATATCTATGATGTGGCACCACCACACTACCTATACTTGCTGATACAGTCTGAGTCATCACTAGTGAAAATGCCTGCACCTAACTGAGGATATCCTCTATTGCTGATACAGTCTGAGTCATCACTAGTGAAAATGCCTGCACCTAACTGAGGATATCCTCTAATACTAACATGGGGAAACAGTTGCCTAGCCTGACAAATTTTTGTGTGTCTCAGAACTGAGATTACTACACATGAGGAGCATAGGTATGTACACATAGCTTCATTTCATGTGTTATTCTGAACGTAACTCTTCTGCAGGCCGGACAAGGGGGCGTGGCTAAAGGCTCTGGGGAATGTAATCAACCTGGAATACAGCCAGGAGACGGTATGGAATGGGGACCTCTGTTTGTGGCAGGGAGACCGAACACTAGTCTTTGTACAGGCACTAGACTACTTGGGTGGGGATCATTTTACTGATTTCTAGGAAACCTTGATGGACACCTTAATGGAACATTTGTTATTTCCAAACGCAATTCATTTCCAACTAGAGATTTGTGGTAAAGAGGACTTTCAATATTAGCTCTCACTTTTGATTTTGCAGATTTAGATTTGCAGAATGTTTCTTGCCTCAAGAGTTACACTTTCAGGATTTGTGTATCTCTCTCTCTCTGCTGCTCTCTCTCGTCGTCTCGTCGTCCTAGGTGATGTGGGAATACCTTGACGACGGAGGACTGTGGCAGGCATGCAGCGAGGACGACAGCTTCAAGATTGAGGCTCATTTCTTTGAGGGCTCGCAGCAGTTTCACCTTGGAGATTATCACTACCATCTGAGTCACATGACCCGCTCACACCCGCAGACCAAGAACCACCAGAGGATAAAGAGGACTCTGTTTGTTCAAGAGAGGAGAGATGGTGAGGGAGGGAGGGAATGAAATGATGAGATGAGAGATTAAAGAAAGGTGAAAGGTCATACAATTTGAAAGACAATCTTCAAGACATTTAAAATGTCTTTATTTGGAAGCTGCCCTTACTCAAATGTAGAGTTCACACAATAAGAGTCAAAAAAAATGGTAATAGAAAAAAGAAGAGAGTGAAAATGGTGAGACACCGAGATAGGATGGAGACTAAGTAACCATGTTGAAAATAACAAGTACACAATATGTAAATGTTGTTGAATGGTTGTGCATTCTTTGACTGCTGTCATTGTTGTCTTCCATCCACAGTTCTTCACTCTACAATGAAAGACCTGCCCGTGAGTTGACTTGTCCTCTTATCTGGTTCTTCATCAACCACTTCAATAATGATCTACTTAACCCCTTTAAGACTACTCTCGTTGCCAGACCTTCAAGAGTATTGACCTACTGTACTTAACCCCTTTAAGACTACTCGTGTTAACACAATTACCAGACCTTGAAGAGTATCATTCTTCAGTTAACCCTTTTGAATTGTTTCGTTAACCCCTTGCAGGCTATCTGGGAGTGGGGCGACGGGGAGAAGAGGGAGTGGCAGCCGTTTGAGAGAGACACAAACATACAGATTGAGGAGATGTACGACAGCGGGTCTCAGTGGGCGGAGCTAACTCTCTGTCTCCCGTCCCCCATGCCGTTCCTCCTGGACCTTCACGACATGAAGTTGGTCAACTTCAGGACTGCCGTGAGATACAACCTCCGCAGGATCGACCAGAGCGATTCCATGGTCTCTGGTGAGTCATGTGATCCTCATGTGACTGTCATGTGATCCTTGGTTCATCTACAGTCATTATGTGTGTGTCACAATGTGCATAGTTATGGTTCAAAGGTGGCCATCATGTGATCCTCATGTGACTGTCATGTGATCCTGAGTTTGTGTATGTGTTTTATACATGTATATACCAGTGTACTATGAACTTTTGGTTCAGAGATACTGATCATGTGATCCTCATGTGACTGTCATGTGAGCCTTTAGTCCATTATTTATGTATTATTTCAGCCCTAGACCACTTCCCCTACTGATGTCTCTCTCTCTCCACTCCTCCCCCAGCCTCACAGGCACCACAGCCGAGGGCTCCATCACCTGATGATTTGGACACACCCCCCATCCAAGACCTGGGGGTTTCCCCTAATTCTCCTCTCTTCCAACCTCTTCAGGTACAGTATGTTCTCTATTGCCTTGGTCGTCCCTCAGTTTCACGTTCAGCGTATTAGCAACCAGGGCGAGTCCACCTACATTTATCTGAATTTAACTGTGTTTTGTACATACGACACTATCACTATACTATAATTGTGCACTCACATTCACACATTTCTACCAGCAGGGAAGTCTCCGTGTAGCTGTAGAATAATCATCGATTTGTTTGCCGTTATAATCATTCACCTGTGAACATATTGTGTGGTACAGGATACTCTGCAGAGGCTGCAGATGGACAGGAAGACCATCAACTACAAGAGGATGATTGGAGAAGGAGCTTTTGGAGAGGTCTGTATCTCTCTCTCTCTCTCTCTCTCTCTCTCTCTCTCTCTCTCTAAAGGCACTCTCTCCACACTCCCTCCCCTCTTTGGTCCCTATTCCGTGTCGCAGGTGTACCTGGCGGAGGTGACTGGGGTTCCGGGGTTTCAGAATCAAACCATGGAGGTCGCGGTCAAACAACTCAGATGTATGTTGGCCACACCCACCAGCCACACCCACCACACGAGATTCCTGCCAATTTTAAAGCTTTATCCAATTTTATGGGCCATCTGAATTTCTCCCTCCCTCCCTCCCTTCTTCCTCAGTGAGTGACTTCATAGCTCGTCATGGTCACCACAGCCAGCAGATGGAGGACTTCCTGCGGGAGGCAAAGGAGATGTCGAAAGTCGACTATCCTTACGTCATCAAACTCCTTGCAGTCTGCACGCTGTAAGTCAGGGGCAGTACCATATCTTGCTAGTCTCACACATTGTGCGAGTGTTTTTCACTGGCTATAGTGGTGTTGACTTATGTTACAGATCCACACTTTGCACCTTCTAATTAAGCGAAGGGTTTTGTAGGGGGCCTGCATGAAAGAAATATTGTAATGGACCACACGATCCCGAGGAGAACGGACAGAGAAACGTTAAACACCTTAAAAATACCAAAAGTCTCAAAAACACTTGTTTTCGTGGTTGATTAGGAAGAGGAGTTAAAGGGGCTACAATACTTTACTTTTTGTCCACTCATGGACATAAGTCATTTGCTGCTAAAAAAACATTTATTCCCTGCTATCTCCCACACACCCTCTCCCCACCCCAGTGACTACCCAATGTTACTGATAGAAGAATTCATGAACAACGGAGATCTACTGGGTATCCTCAAAGACAACCGACCCAGCATGCCTCTACCAGCCCAACTCAACTTCGCCTTTCAGGTCTCTGACGGCATGCGGTACCTCGCCGATGAGCTGTAAGTCACATGACTCTCACATGACACTCACATTGCACTCTCCATATAGTCAAGGTATTCAGGTGGCAGGTTGGTCTGTCATACTTGTACCACATGCTTGCTAAAAGTACGAACAGTTTACACCCTTTTCCCATGCTATTCTCTATCATGTGACTGATCATGTGATGTCATGTGACCTGCAGGAGCTGTGTCCATAGAGACCTGGCGGCCAGGAACATCCTGGTCCATCAGGACGACTCTGAGTTCATGCACACCAAGATTGCCGACTTTGGCCTGTCACGGTGAGTCCACTATCTACACATGCACTGATCCCTGAGAATGTATGCAGGACACCTCTCTATAAAGAACACTTGGCTCTAATACATTAGTGTATTATACTACGATTTTTATGTAGAAGCCCTCAGGCACTTTACGACGCAGTGTTTCTTGCTCGTACAAAGACCCTGGGGCTCCTGGAGTTGTTGTCTAACTTAGTTTTCTCCCCTCCCTCCCTCCTCCCTCCTTCCCCTCCCTCCCCTTCCTCCCTCCCTCCCTCCCTCCTCCCTCCCCAGTCATCTCTACTCTGACATGTACAAACACCAGGGAACGAAGCCACGCCCACTACCGGCCAAATGGATGGCTCTGGAGTCACTCATGTACTTCACCTTCACCACCAAGAGTGACGTATGGTCAGTGGGCCTGGGGTTAAACTACCAGTTGGCTAGGGGTTAAACAAAATTCAGTCAGCCAGGGATTTTAATTGCCAGTGGGCAGAGAGTGGTTATCTAGTGGGCAGGGAATAAAGGGTTAAATCTGAATCACTAATAGCAGGCTTGGGGTTAAAACATTAATTATTGTATGAACCTGAAGTTAAGTGATGTAATTGTTTATTTCCCAGGAGTTACGGTGTGTTGCTATGGGAGATAATGACCATGGGGCGGAGTCCCTACCCGGGAGTGGAGAACAGAGAGCTCCTGGAGCAGATAGAGGAGAAAGGGTTAAAACTCAGCAAACCAAAACTCTGTCCACCAGAGATGTGAGTGAATTGGTAGCAGCCAGCTACATTATATAGCAATGTTGTTCAACCCTTTATCTCACTTGACTCTTTCATCTTTTCCCTAGATATCAGTGTGCCCCTAACATTGCATGGTGATCACATGATAGTCATGTGACATATATCTCCCTGTACAGCTATGAGGTCATTCTGGACTGTACTCAGCACCAACCTGATGAGAGACCCACATTTGGAGAACTCAAAGACACTATGGTACAATACCTCTCTAATAAGGCAACGTGGTCATTTGGGCTCAGAATACTTGGAATTTGCTGCAACTCAACTAAATTGCCTTGTGTATGCCTTTATGTATGTTGGCCTTTTAAGGAAATAAGGACGCACCTTTTCCCCGTTCTTGCATTTTAACCCCTGAAATAAGGACACCTCACTAATTCTTCTTCACTTCTGTCTGGATTAGCTTCCACTGTGACTAACACTTCCCTCCTCCCGTCTCCCACGTAGGCAGAGTTCTTCACCCAGGCAATGGAAGGGAAGATGACCCACCCTAAGGAATCCCCAACTACCAGCTCCCTGCCCAGCTCCACCTCCCTCACTACCACTGACCACGCCACTGAAGAAGGTTCGTTCCAGTTGTTAGCCACACACACCTTCATTGCCTGAGCTAGACAAAACTCAAAGACGGGACAACATCCCTATGTATAAAGAACAATGTCTTCAGAGGCTCCACTCTATTGTATGATGCTCCATGCAGTGTGGAATGTTTCATGACTAATGTTCTCACCCACTTCCTCCAGGCCCCCAGCCCCCGCGCCCGGAGAAGTCCCCCCAACTCCAGAGACCCCCCAGCCCTAAAACCCCGCCCCCTTCCTCCAAACCACCTCCCCCAACTCCCGCTTCGTCTCTCTCACCTCTCACGAAAACCACACCCCCTTCATCTAGGCCTACCTCCACTGCCACTGGGAACTCTTCGTCGAAAAACTCGTCCAAAACCACGCCCAACAACAACTCCAAGAGTGCATCACCATCGGTAACCAAGGCCAACTCTGTTTCCACGGGAACCAAGACCAACTCTGCTTCCATGGCAACAAAAACCAACTCTGTTTCCAAGGCAACCAAGGCTAACTCTGCTTCCAACAGTGCTACCGTGGCAACCAAAGATGACGGCACTGGGAACTCGGTGGTACCAGAAGGGATGACGACCGAGGACGATGGAATGGTGGAAATGACAGGAGGACATCTTTATTACCTTCTTGACCCTCTCGAGGACGAGGTCAAAGGTGAGAAATCGGGTGGTCGGCACAAGCGTGGATCGGGACGGTCTCCATCCCAGTCCAATCACTGGAGAACGGAATCAGGACGGCCCAATGAGACTCCGCCCACACAATCAACACTCAGAGAATCCTAGCACCAATTACAGCAAATTATGCAACACACAGATTATCATAATAACACAAAATGAGCGTATGTTTCCATGTTTTGTGTGTCTGTTATTCAAATTGTGTGATAATAGTTGGTGAGGTGTTGGTGGAGGCATGTTTCAGACGTAGCCTTTGCTCTTGCGGTAGTACTGGTAGCTGTGATAGACATTCTGCTCCAATTTCCTGGATGACGACAGGATCCAGCACTACAGCTGGTTTACCGCAAGAATTGGTCATGCTGTCTGCAAGAGGAATTGGTCATGCTGTCTGCAAGAGGAATTGGTCATGCTGTCTGCAAGAGGAATTGGTCATGCTGTCTGCAAGAGGAATTGGTCATGTTGTCTGCAAGAGGAATTGGTCATGTTGTCTGCAAGAGGAATTGGTCATGCTGTCTGCAAGAGGAATTGGTCATGCTGTCTGCAAGAGGAATTGGTCATGCTGTCTGCAAGAGGAATTGGTCATGTTGTCTGCAAGAGGAATTGGTCATGCTGTCTGCAAGAGGAATTGGTCATGCTGTCTGCAAGAGGAATTGGTCATGCTGTCTGCAAGAGGAATTGGTCATGCTGTCTGCAAGAGGAATTGGTCATGTTGTCTGCAAGAGGAATTGGTCATGTTGTCTGCAAGAGGAATTGGTCATGTTGTCTGCAAGAGGAATTGGTCATGCTGTCTGCAAGAGGAATTGGTCATGTTGCCTGCAAGAGGAATTGGTCATGTTGTCTGCAAGAGGAATTGGTCATGTTGTCTGCAAGAGGAATTGGTCATGTTGTCTGCAAGAGGAATTGGTCATGCTGTCTGCAAGAGGAATTGGTCATGCTGTCTGCAAGAGGAATTGGTCATGCTGTCTGCAAGAGGAATTGGTCATGCTGTCTGCAAGAGGAATTGGTCATGTTGTCTGCAAGAGGAATTGGTCATGCTGTCTGCAAGAGGAATTGGTCATGCTCTCTGCAAGAAAGGGGTGTGTATAAAGAATGAACACGGAACTAGAAGATAACCCAAATCAAGAGAGAGAGATTAGCATTTGTCCTATTCTACATGTACTGTACCTCCTGTTCTCATCCACTGGCCCGAACAGGTACCGACTGGGGTGGATTACATCATCATGATGTAAGGATAATTTACACCAGCTTCATGCTGCCAGCTCAGATTATGTATAACACCAAGGAAAAATCTAAGATTGTGACAGATAAAGAAATGAGGACACCTCTCTAATAAGGATACCTTTTCTTTCCCCAAAAACAGTTCTTGTGTGGAATTTAACCCCTGAAATAAGGACAGTTACTACTTTAATCTGTCCCACCGGAACAAGGGAGTTCCGCTGGGTGTATAGTACCTCATCTAGCTAGTGCTATCAGCTAGTGATTACCTCTCTATTGTTGAGTGCGGTACAGTGGGTGCGCAGATATTTTTCGTTTTTATTTTCGTTAGCAGAACTACACCCGAGAAGGATATGACCACTGGTTCCCCACAACAGTGGAGGTCTGTACCTGCACTCACAGATTCACTGCATTTCAAAAGGTGGCATTTTGGTATTGTAATGGTACAAATCCATTGTGGGTGTCAGTGAGTATCTTCTGACATTGAAAAAGGGGAGACCATACAGGCAGGTCCTTATCCTTCTCTCCCTTACCTTATCACTTACTCTCGTCCTATTTCTCTCCTTCCTCACCTAACCCCGCCCCTCTCCCTTTCTCTCTCTTCCGAGGCGTATGTATACACATACTAACTTGTGGGTGAGGGTTGTGCAGGCCCGGACGATATCGGGACAGAGACGAGAGTCCTTACGATAGCGGACGGAGGGTCTTCGTCTGTCTTCGCCCGCGTCTCGCCACAAGTAACTGGAAACTGTGAGGTAGAGGCCCCGCAGGAAGACGACGAGGACTAGGAACGCCGCTAGAGCCGAGAACATGACGATATTTACCTCCTCCCCCGCCCCTTTCTCACTTTTGTTAGCTAGCCGGACACGTGGCCGTGGGGTGCGCGCGCTCATTCACACGAGCAT